AGACCAGAATCCCCAACCAACTTCAGGTCAGAGACACATACTGATTTAAAGTTTAGTTTAAGGAATCAGCTGTAGCACACAGAAAATATGGACTGGAAACAATCCCATTTGAACTTGAATTCTGGAGTAATCGTGTTTGCTGCTTTGACACTCTTGACCCAAAATTCTCCTTCACAACCATCTGTAAACTCTCAGGGTCCCTGAGATACTGCATGTTCATGCAACAAAATTAAATCATTACTACTCGGGCATCATTTAGGAAATGGAGCTGCAGAGTTCAAACTTACATAGGTTTGTTTTATCTCCTCACATTTCACGGAAAATAACACTGCCTGTAAGACTAGGTGTGGATTTAGACAGAGATGAGGACTAGCGTGGAGGGGCAGGGTAAGTGCACAAGCATGAAGTGAGAGGCTCACCAATCACGTGGAAAATCTGATTAATTTTCAGGAGTCATATGTGGTTGTCTTGCTGACTCCTTTGGAATATGGATATGATAGAGAACAGATTTCTTTTCTTTTTTTTTTTTTTTTTTTTTTTTTTTTTTTTGAGATGGCGATCCATTCTTGTCGCCCAGGCTGAGTGCAATGGCACGGATCTCGGCCTCACTGCAACCACCTCTGCCCCTCCAGGTTCAAGCGATTCTCCTGCCTCAGCCTCCCAAGTAGCTGGGTACTACAGGCGGGCGCGACCCACCACCACACCCAGCTAATTTTTGTATTTTCAGTAGAGATGGGGTTTTGCCATATTGGCCAGGATGGTCTCGATCTCCTGACCTTGTGATCTGCCTGCCTTGGCCTCTCAAAGGGCTGGGATTACAGGCGTGAGCCACCACCCCCAGCCTAGGAACAGATTTCTGAAACATCCAAGGCACTGGCCATCCTAGCACCTTGCTGGCCCCTACAAACACTCACAATAGACTCAGGACAGTTTGTATGGACTTTTTGGTTGTCTTTTTATGTGTGTCTGAGTGTTTGGTTTGGGGTTTCACTTATTTTGTTTTGTAACTGGCCTAGCAAGATTTGGGATGAAGCATTGACTAGAGTCTAGAATGATCAGTGAAATTTCTGAAAATGTGTCCTAGCCTTTTTCAGGGTCATGGAAGGGGGTTTGAACAGGAGGTATAACTGTGGACTGCCACCCTACAGGAGTCTGTTTAGGGCCAACCCCTAAAGGAAGGCTTCAAATTAATCTGTAACACAATGAGATTTCTGATTCTGTGTTCTAGAGTAAATAAAATAATTACAGTCACACCTTGCAAAGCAACAGGAATATATTCTGAGAAATGCATCATTAGGCAATTTCATTGTGAGAACATCATAGACAGTACTTACACAAACCTAGAGTGTGTGTGTGTATATATACATATTTTTTTCTCATACGAAAAACAAAATGTCCCAGTACCAATAATGAACATCAATCATTACCCCAACTGATCTGCAAGGCCAGTATCAAGTGCTGTATATCAGGTTTCTATATATGCTCCATTATAATCTCATGGGACTACCATCATATATGTGGTCCATCGTTGACCAAAATGCCACTATGCAATGAATGACTGTATTTCTTCTAAAGGGAGGGTTTTATTGGTGGGGGGGAACTACCTACCAATTCTGACTTCTTACACTAATCTTTCTCTGTCAATTAGCTTGTCACATTGTCTTTTTAATTTTTAACCTCAAATATAATTTATTACCAGAAATTAGGAACACTTCATTTTTTGTCGTTGACATAGTGGAGGTGTGAATTCCACTGTAAACAACTACTTGAATATATAAAAACCAGCAAGGGATTTGAATAGAAAACAGCTACTTTGTGTTTTTAACCAATTTATGGTATAAGTCACTGTGACAACTACAATGGAGAAAAACAATTCGCTTTATTTAGTTCAGGAAGATGATCTTTGCTCGACCATTCAAAACACACAAGCAACAAAAACACATCCATTTTATTAAAGACTTAAATATATGACCTGAGACCATAACACTACAAGAAGGAAACCTAGGGAAGAAACTACAGGACACTGGTGGGCGATGAATTTGGGGGTTTGACCCCAAAAGCTCAAATAACAAAAGCAAAACTAGACAAATGAGATTATATCAAACTAAAATGCTTCTGCACAGCAAAGAAAACAATTAACAGAGTGGAGAGACAGCCTACAGACTGGGAGAAAATATTTGCAAGCCCTACTTCTAATAAGAGGTTAATGTCCAAAATATATAAGGAACTCAAACAACTCAATAGCAAAAAGACAAATAACCTGATTAACAAATGGACAAAGGACCTGAATAGACGTTTCTCAAATGAAGACACACAAATGGCCAACAGGCATAAGAAAAAATGCTCAACATCACTAATTGCTAGTGACATGCAAATTAAAATCACAGTGATGTATTACCTCACACCTTTCGGAATGGCTATTATCAAAAAGATGAAAGATAACAGGCCAGGATATGGAGAAAAGGCAACCCTATACATTATTGGTGGGAATATAAATTAGTACAGCCATTATGGAAAACTGCATGGAGGTTCCTCAAAAAATTAAAAATAGAATTACCGTATGATCCAGCAATCCCACTTCTGATTATATATACAAAGAATTTGAAATCAGTATGTCGAAGAGATATCTGCACTCTCATGTTCATTGCAGGATTTATCACAATAGCCAAGTTATGGGATCATCCTAAGTATCCATCAGTGGATGAACAGATAAAGCAAATGTGCTATACATACACAATGGAATACTATTCAATCTTCAAAAATCAGGAAAATCTGTCCATTGATGAGCCTGGAGGATATTATGCTAAGTGAAATAAGCCAGGCACAGAAAGACAAATACTTCATGTTCTCACTTGTATGTGGAATCTAAAACAATGGAACCCACAGAAGCAGGTAATAGAATAGTGGTGATAATTCAAAATTTCATATTGCAAAATAGCTAAGAGTACATTTCAAATGTTAACACCACAAAAAAACTATTAAGTTCCATGTTGAGTCATTTTTGTGTACAAAAAGATAAATATTTTAGGTGATGAATATGTTATTTAGCTTGATTTAATCATTCTACACTGTACACATATAATACCACTTTGAACTCCATAAATGTATACAATTTGTTAATATACAATAAAATTATACAAATATAAAAATAAAAAGATTTTCTAAGCAGTGTCAAGTAAGTCAATTTTATTTCATATCTACTGTGTCTGAATTCAGACATGCCTGACCTTTAGGAGTGTGCCTAGCCTTCCCTATGGGAGATTTTTCTTTTTTTCTTTTTTTGAGACAGAGTCTTGCTCTGTCGCCCAGGCTGGCAAGCAGTGGCGCAATCTTGGCTCACTGCAACCTATGCCTCCCGAGTTCTAAGGGATTCCAGGAGATATTCTTTCAGATTTATTGTCAGTTCCGTTTGGACCTATAGTTCTCCAAGTATGGCCCCATGTCCAGGAGTACCAGCATCTCCTGGGAACTAGTTAGAAATGTAAATTCAGGGGTCCACTCCTGACCAACTGTAGGGGCAACTCTGTGGATGGGACCTAGCAATCTTTATTTTAAGAAACCCTCCATCTGATTCTGATTCACAGGAAAGTTTGGGAGCCACTGATTTAGACTGCTATACTGTTGTTTATCTGGTAAACAAAGAGGCTGCTTTTCTTGTTCAGAAGCTTTAAAATATTGCTTAGGATTTCTGCTGGGTGCACAATTCCCTGCTGTGAACCGAGTTTGCTAGAAAACCAAATAACTGGCACCTCCACTGTAGTCCTACCCAGAGCTTGCAGGCTTTGCACTCACGTAAGACTGATTCTTCCAGAGGGACCTGGAAGTGCCAATGTGATGGGCAAATGCTCTTACCAGAAATAAACTAGCTGTGGGAGCCGGGTGCGGTGGCTCATGCCTGTAATCCCAGTACTTTGGGAGGCCGAGGCAGGCGGATCACTTGAGGTCAGAAGTTCGAGGCCAACCTGGCCAACATGGTGAAACCTCGGCTCTACTATAAATATAAAAATTAGCCAGGAGTGGTGGCGGGCGCCTCTAACCCCAGCAACCCGGGAGGCTGAGGCAGAAGAATCGCTTGAACCCGGTAGGCGGAGGTTGCAGTGAGCCGAGATCACGCCACTGCATTCCAGTCTGGGCGACAGAAGTAGAGAGACTCCTTCTCAAAAAAAAAAAAAAAAAAAGAAAAGAAAAGAAAAAGAAAGAAAGAAAAAGGAAAGAAAAGAAAAGAAAAAGAAACTAGTTTTGGGCCTTAAATGCTACTCAGTTCTCCAGTTCACCTCAACAGGGAGGGAAGGTGCCTGGAGGAAAATCGCACTTCGTTTTTGCCCTGCTTATTTTGTCTTCAAAATATATGATAAATCACCACATCAAAGAGCCGTCCCAGATCTAAACTCCCAGGTGAGTTCGGTGGCACCCAGTAGGTTTTCACAACACAGGATCTCTGTCTCCTTGTATTGTAATAGCCTGTCTCCAAATGCAGATAGCAACCGGCAGGCTGTAAATGTCGAGGGAAAAGCCTAATTCCTTTCCTCATCCGGAGCCTCTAGTGCAGTACCCAGCACAGAGCAGGTACTTGGTATTTTGGTAAGGGAATCAATCAACGCATCAATAGCGGAATCTGAAACCAGCGACCCAGATCTTTCCATAAAATCATCCTGCCGAGATGGGATTCAGATGTATTGGTGCCCTGTAGACAACACGTTTTCGCCCTGATTTTATCCTCCATTCATCTGTCCGCCCCCGCCCCCATAGACCCCGCCTGTCCCCAGCCAAAAACAGTAAGATTCACACATCTCAGTGTCAACACACACAACACAGTTGACACGCCCCTTAATCCTACAGCTACGCAATCAATTCTCGCCGCCGGGTCCGTCCTCTTGTCAGTTCCTCCGACTCCTCATCCCCTCGCAACTTCCGATCCCCTATCACTTCCATTCCCGTTTGCCTACTCGGCTGGAAGCAGGATGTGTCTACGCCTTCAGCCCATAAGAAGTGCTACAAACCTCCGCCTCGCTCGCTTTCATGACGGCGACCCACGGCCCGTGTCCTGTGGCCTCGGAGAGCAGCGGCAGTCGCAGTGACCGGACCCTCGCCCATCCACCGCCCTCCCTTAAGCGACGCACAACGGAGCTCCCACAATCCTCTTTGCTTCCGCTCTCGCCATCCGCCCTGCGCTCAGCCGCCCCCCTCTTCGCCCCCGCCCCGCCCCGCCCCGCCTCGACATTAACCCCTTTGCGGCCACGTCCGTTGGCTGGTCTGTTTGGGAGAGCCAGGCGACTAATCTGGTAAAGAGACCAAAAAGACACAGGTAAAAAGACCTAAAAGACTTAGTCATCTGTTGGAACATTTCCCCAGTTTGTTTTTAAGTTGGCTTGCAAGCTTATCAATCATTATTAAACAGGAGCTTAACTTACTTAGGTGAACAGTTCACGATGACGCCTTCAAGCTGCTAGACCAACCCGAACTCCGAATTTGCAGTTTCTGACCTTTCACCTTGAACCTGTGCCCTTTCTACCCTCCATTCTCCATCTCCTTTTGGTTCTTGTCTGACTCTTTAACTGAGTGTGTAAAGAGCACAGACTTTGAAACCTGAGTTCCCGCGTTCGAATTCCCACTGTACCACTATCTAACCATGGCATCTTGGGCAAGTGATTCAAGCATGCTATTCCTTGGCTTTCTCATCTGTAGAATGGGTATAATAATAGTACTTGCCTCCAGAGTTGCAGTTAAAATATTAAAATTTCACATGTGAGGAACGCCTAGAACATTGCCTGTCATGGAGTTAAGCAGTATATTGAAATATAAATTATGATTGAATTTGATCTCATCTAAGACCTCTAGCTAATAAATAATAAATGATAATAATCATTTCACCTGGGATAGAGGGGATTGCCCTGTTCTCTCCAGGCTGAGGCAGTAATACCTGATTCTAGGGACTGCTGATATGGAAATTACTACCACTCTGGTTGGAGTCAGAAGAGTATATTAAAGAGTCTCTTTGTACTGTCCTAAAATAAGCAAAACCCAACATTTGCAGTTCCATGGACCATGCACTATGATAAGTGCTTTAAACCCATTTTGTTGTTATTGCTTCATCCTCACAATAACCCTTTGCTGGTTGTTAAGTGTATTACCCTTTCCTGTCCTCTTCGTCTGCTTAAAGCAGCTAAGAAAACTCAGATTAGTCACATTGCATATAAATCAATAACTTGCCCATGGTCACAGAGCTAATAACAAATAGAGCCAAGACTTAAACTCAGATACATTCAGATGTGTCCTAGTATCTCTCAAATATCACCGAGAAAAAAAGCCACCATAAATTCTTTTCAAGTGCTCTCTCTCCCCCGATTCCCCACCCCAAGAGTTGCTCAATGCCCATACAGGAAGACTAGGTTCACTTCAGAAGCAGAAGGGCAGACCCCAGTAAGGCAAAGATCTCTCCCTTGAAGGCTGGCAGCCAAACAGGTGACTATACTAGGAATTGGCATAAACAGCTCACTCATTGCCCTCCACTGTGCCACACAGGCCCTGTTACTGCCTATAGTACTGAAGACTACTGGGGATAAAGGTATAGGGCCTTCACTTCATCCCACCATTCTGTAAAGCTTGGATATTAACGAAGATCTTGCTTATTTTAGGACAGTACAATGAGACTCTTTAACATACTCATCTGACTCCACCTAGAGTGGTAGTAGTAATTTCCATATCAGCAGTCCCTAGAGTCAGGAATTACTGCCTCAGCCTGGAGAGAACAGGGCCATCCCCTCTGTCCCAGGTTAAAACAGAATAGGAATTCCCTCTGTTCCTTCAGAGTGTATGGTACTCAGGATGTTGTTATTCTTGCTCCACACCCACCCACTCTCACTTCCCAACTTATCATCAGGTGGTCCACAGTGGTTTTTTCAGGGGAAGGATTGGTGATGGTGAAGGGACTGAAGGAGAAGGTAAATCGCCAGGTTTGCTGAAGGTAAATGAAGCACTGCTTTGTCCCTACCTCTGTACCTCTTTTGTAGCTCCCTGACCTTATTTCTCATTTGGCATTTCAGAACCCATCACTCCACACCTAGGAAACCCTCTTGGGTTTGAATTGCAGGCAAATCATCTTGTCTTTTATTTTCTCCCCCGACACCCAACAGTAGCACACATGTCTGGACTTGGCCAAATTTAAAAACAAAAATAACAGAGGTAGGATGGAAAAACTTTTTACTTAATTTTCTCCATTATTTCTAGCTGTCAAACTATTAGAAAATGTCAGTGTAAGGGGTAGAGCTGTGAGAAGTCGAGTTCCAGAGGCCAGGAAAGAGAAAAATCCTGATGCAAAGCAAAAGTGTTGGCAGAGGAAAGGCAAGCTGACAAGAGTGTCTCTAGGGTCGGTAGAAATAAACAAATGGTGGAAATTGGTGAGTGGGTCTCATACACAAAGAAACCTTTCCCTTTCAGCTCCTTTCACCCTACACACCATATCCCCATTCCAGAGACTTCCACTGCCTTAAATTCTCCTAACCAACCCAGTTCTTTCCTTGCTGGGCATCTTGCCCTAATGGCAGAATTCACCACCAGCTGCTACTGCTAAGCAAACTGCGTAGTTGAGGGGAGAGGATGTTCGTAAACCCAATGTTAGAAAGGGAGATGTGTTCCTAGCATCCCTAGTTGTACTCGTAGCATATTTTTAGAAGCAGTGTTCTACGTACATAATTTAAGTGTTCAGGTTCTGCAGTGCTTTCTTCAGTATGTTTCAGTTATTTGTTTCTTAAGAACTGTTCTGGGATCCTAACATATATATGACAGTGTTTCTATGCCATAGTGTTTTACACAGCTGGTGACCAGTTCAGGCCCCCTTTACAAGGCAGATAGATCCATCCCCCAGCTGCTGTGGGTATTAGCTGATAAATACAGCTGCTTCCTTCTCTGCAGAATTGCACTCTGCAGAAGAGGTTCATTGCCTGGGAGATTGCTGTTTAATACCCCCAACCCCTACACACACAACCCTGCAGCCAAAAGCAATGACTGACTGATGATGAGGGTACAAGGTACCTTGCCTCAAGGTTGACCAATTCTATGGTGCAAATCCTACTCCAGAGCTCCTCCTGGGATTAGGCTAGAGCTCGTTTCCAGTGAGTTTAGGTTTTTTCCCTTAGCCATATCCTGCTTCTCTCACTCCCCTGCTGCTGAGAGCACTCGCTCTAAATCACTTGCACAAGAATCATGCCCCACCTCTGGCTCTGCTTCTAGGGAACCCTAATACTCATGCTCAGCTCATGTTTGTCAGAGGATCATGTAAAGAAGTCCCTCTGTAGACCCTCTGTTGTAGGCAGAGCCATCATACCCATCTCTGGGGAAGTCAGGAGTGAGTTAAGATGTAACTGGATAAGACCCCTCAAGTCAAACTTGAGCATCTGTCCTAACTCAGATTAAAATGAGATCTGCCCTATTCCTGAAATCTACTGTCTTGGTGACACCAGCAGACTACATTCTATCAAATTAGAAATGAAGATTGTTTGTGCTTCATTGTGGAAAAATGTTTTCATTAAAAATAGTTATGTGGCATTTGTTAAAATTTTAGTTAGGTCACAATTATTTTGTGATAGATACTGCTATAATAGCATGAATCTTAAATTTATCAGCTGTTGGTTGCTATATGTCTGTTGAGTGTAAACTCTGTGTTATCAGAGATGATCAAAGAATGAGCCCAAGGTTAGATACCGGATAAGGATGCTCCGATTAGTCTAGAAGTGTTAAAAAAAAAAAAAAAAAAAAAAAAGGAAACAACAGACCAGATTACCAGCTTGCAAATAATAAAACATATCCTAATTTAATAATTCTTCTATGATTCAGAAGACATACTGAATCATCTTTACAAACCTCAATCATAATATTGTAAAAGTGTACAAGTACTGGTTAAGAGTAATGTTCAGATTGAAAAAAAAGTTCAGGTTGAAAATGACCAGATTGTTAAAATATATATTTGCAAGGAGGAAAATTTCAAAACATCTAGCATCTCCTCCAAAATATATATCCTATTATTTACATAGTACATAATGTATAGTCACTGATTCTAATCTCACTTGACTAAGTCCATTCCTCTAGCTACAATAAAAGAACCAAGATAATAATTTTCTTTGGGATTACCTAGTTCTGAATATATTTTAATACATTCCTTTTGCTATGACCTCTTGTAATTGGTTCCTTTTATTAATTTTATTTACATATATTATATATCATAATTTATTTTAATTCCTTTTTTGCTGTATGGAAGCAAATACATGATCATCTTCCTCTCCAAAAAATCAGATTATGGAGGGTCTTTTAAGTGGTTACTTTTGGCAGCTAAAACAAACATTTTCTTAAGAAAATATCATTAAACTAAAAATTCATACTGATCTGAGAAATGTTGGTTGTTTCTGAAAAGCCCTTTCTACATTAGTCAAATAAATTATAATATTTATAAGTCTCATGGAATGTTTTAGTTGTGTACAAGATTTTCATTAAAGCATAGGAAAGAATATCATAGCTACTTGCTTAACACACATATACATCAAAGAGGAGATATGACTTTCCTAACTTATCTGTAACAATGGTTAAACAAAGGTTTGGTAAGAGCAATTAAAGAATGGTGAATTACCCCATTCATTAAAATTTTTAAAGTACTTAAAATTAGACTGGATAGAATTTTACAGGGGAGCAATATATCATATTTTTTTTAAAAAAAGAAGAAGAAAGAGGCTGGGTGCAGTGGCTCACCCCTATACAATTTGGGAGGCTGAGGCGGGCAGATCACGAGGTTAGGAGTTTGAGACAAGTCTGATCAACATGGTGAAACCCCATCTCTACTAAGAATACAAAAATTAGCCAGGCGTGGTGGTGCACACCTGTAATCCCAGCTACTCAGGAGGCTGAGGCAGGAGAGTCGCTTGAACCCAGGAGGTGGAGGTTGCAGGTTGCAGTGAGCCAAGATCGTGGCACTGCACTCCAGCCTGGGCAACAGAGCAGACAGAGCATGACTCTGCCTCAAAAAAAAAAAAAAAAAAAAAAAAAAAAAGAGAAAAGAAAAGAAGAAGAAGAAGAAAATTATACGAGGACAAATGTAAAAATGTTATAGTCATCCCCCTGGTTGTTATTTCTCAAAATTTTTTTTGCCATCAACCCTTAAGGGT